ATTCAAATTCAAAAGTCGCACTTAGTTAATAGAACACACAACAAAAATGAAACTGAATAGACAACACGATGGGTTTTTTGTTGTAAATTTTTTTCTTTGCGTTCGATTTTTGTTGTTTCGGAATTAAGCCTATGCAACAACAACAAAAAATAATAGTTCGGGAGGAATGAGGGACTACACACAAACAAAAAACAATATGATTTAAACCGATAAACTAATTGAGATTTTAGACTCTCAATCGATGACAACAAATAGTTGATAGTTCGTAACAACTAATTGAGCTTTGTCTGATTAAAAAAAAAGTAGATCTTTTACAATTTTTACTGCGGCTATTTTGTCAACTTTTTCATTCACAAATGCTTTTATTTTCGTAGCATATTTCTTTGTTCTTGTTTAATTGTTCGCTCGATCTTATACGAGCACTTTTATTGTAATTTGAATTTTTGTTCCTTTCGCATTTACAATTTGTCGATGTCTGCTCTTCAACTTCGGAAGACATTCACTTTTTTCTTTTCTTTTTAATGTAACAGAAGAAATGCGATCAATTGTCTTTTTTTCCTTCTTAATTTTTGAGGTAATCGTTCAAAATTGCCGAGGGATTGCCTGTCATTGGGTGAATAGATTCTCTTTGCGGTTGATAACTAAAAACAACTGCTCACTTCGATAAACTGCAAATTTAGAAACAATGTGAAGAGAGAGAAAAAAAATGAGTAATATTTCAAGTGAAATAAACAAATTTCTATATTCATTATATGAATTTCTGTATAATTTTTGTTTGAAACAAAAGCATTTTTTCGGTTATTGTCAAAAGCACTGAAACTGTGTACAAAATTCAATTGAACGATTTTATGCCATACACACATATATACACGCGCGCGCTGACAATAACACACATTCGCATCGAAGCAATTTAATTTCACTTTACTGAAATGATTTTTTTATGTTTTTCTATTCTCTCTTTCTCTATTTCTCTTCCAACCGATTCCGTAATGGTAATGCACAAAAAACGGGTGTAAATTGATTTTTCCACGCAATTTCGCAATTTATTAATAAAATAGATTGGATGTGTTGTGATTGTATTGTGTGTGCGTAGCAGGCGAAAAAAAATCAACACTTTAAAGAAATCGAATATTACAGTGGAAATTATCTGTATGTACACAATTCAATATTCGATTTGTCATATAATTAGATTCATTAGTCGCATGGACGGGAAATGCATGTAGATAGGAAAGAATAAAGGAACAAATCAAAATGTATGGCAATGTCAAATTGATTTTGTTGCAAATGGAACGTTGTTTTGAATTCAAAACGGATTGAAAACGAAATACAATTATATTATAACAAATCACACTGAACATATACAAATTATATGCCTTTTTATTCTCTTACGGATTGAACCATTTGACACACGCAATAAATTCAATAAATGCGATGAACAACAACAAAATCGAGCACACATTTCTAGTTTTCACCGCGTAAATTCGCAATCACACGTCAACTACAGCAAGAAGACTCACAAGCGACTTTTCTGTCGTCGCAAATGAAAAAAGATTTGAACAGAATAAACGAAACGAACAAACTAACACGGTAGAAGGAAAAAAAACACACACACAACAACTTTGCCTTGGAAAAACCGACGACGACGTCTCAGTCAATTGAGTAAATTATCGGAATTTTGTGCACGAACACATTTTCTGTGTCGTCTATTTGAAAATGTGAAAAATTTCGCTTTTCTTCTTTTACTCGTTTTTTTTTTTGCTTTGCTCTGGTGTCACTTTTGTACTTTTCCTCGTTCAAACTATTTTGATTTTGGTTTGGGATTGTATTTGCATTCGTATTCCCCACCCATAAAAGATTAGTTTTTGTGCTCGTTTCTCATTCTTTCGCTATAGTTGTTCCTGAATTGAATGCACGCACACATTAGTACGTGTACGCGAAACGAATGCGACATGGGCTGAAAGGCCCAAAGTTGACAAGTTTTCTTGTATTGGTACGTGGTCTTATGTTGCGTTGGAGCACAAAGTATCCACTGTGTGTATTCATTTACACGGACAACGAGCACACCAAAGTCGTTCGACGACAGCGTATGCTTGCGTTACTTTTGAGCACCTCCGTTTAAACGAAAGAGCGACGAGAAGGCAAAAAAAAACAACATTCAGTTAGTTGGTGCGGTGTCAGAATCAAAAGTGTAAAACGTTCATATGTTGCGACTAACAGCCGTTTCGCAGAAGCGTTTAATCACTTAAACGCAATTACTTCGAACGTAAGTCGAACGAACAAAAAAAAATTGTGTGTCTTTACGCCATACATCGCATACGGAGAGAGCGCTCAGTGATGTATTGGATAGTCAAACGTTGCACACACGGAGCGGGAGAGAGAGAAAACAACAAGAAACAACAAATCTGATCATATTACAAACACAACCGCATTACTGTTGGTGGATTTAAGGTCTTTAGTGGAATGTGCGACAAAGAAATATCGTATAAATGTATGTTTGTACGTGACAATGCTCCATTTAGATCTTGCACAAACACACACATACTAATACACACTCTCACACACATCCACGCACGCACACTCACACACTCTAACGCACACATATGACCGAACATGAAGAGAGAACAAGAGATTTTGAGAGGTCTTGTAAAAATAAATTTCGAATCGTATTTAATGTATTAGACCCAAATCATGAACTTTTTCTTTCATATTTCTCAATTATTCATTATGGGCACGTTGAATTTACATGACAATAGTTTCGTCTTTTAAAAAAATACACAGTCTCAGTGCTTTTTCTTCCTTTTTTTTCACTCATAACGCAAGAGTGATTCGTTTTTCCATTCTTCCTCCATATTCGACTGTGTGTAAAAAAATTTTTTCACTGAACATTATTCGCACAAATAAAAATTCAATTGGTTTTACGTACAAAACAAATAAATGCAGCCGACACTTATAACATTGATGCTTATTACACTTTTTTAGATACACATTTTGGTACACAATTTGTAATTTATATTTCCAATGGAATACGGATTTACAATTTTTAAGATACGTTTTCGACGACCATCGCGTTGCGCTCAAAAAACTTTTTGCTGTCAAATCAGACCGAACTGCTAAAAAGGTGAAGATGGCGCGCATGCTTCATTTCTGCCTCCATATTGTTATTGTTATTCTTATTCAGACTATTTCAATTGTGTGATTTTCATTTGGTGTGAAGTTGTCCCCATGCATATCTATGTACTTGACAATTTCATTAGTTCACCGGTTTTGCCGCATCTTTGAAATTTAAACAATTTGAACAGAAAAATTGTTAGAAACACCATTTCGTTATGATAACTTCGTATCGTTAAATTGATTGGTAACCATAAAATTAAATCTTTGATATTTAAAAAGGTACTTACAATATTGGAAATTTTTATTTTAAATTCTTAATTGTTGGGATTTGAACAATTTCAGTTGAAAATCGAATTCGAATAAAAATGAAATCGAAGCTTGATTCGAAACCGATTTCAATTCTGATTTTTTGACCATTTTTTGATTCTACATGAAATTTGAGATATTCGAAATTGATATATGATCATTGATCAAGTTACCATTTTTGTCTTTTCTTTCATTAATATTTTGGTTTGAACTTTTGCGATTCGCTTTTGCAAAAAATGTTCGAAAAACGAGTTTTATTTTTAATTTGAATTGATGATTTATCTATTTGATTCTGGGAACTCTGGTCAACTATCTCAAAAAATGAAAATAACACAATAATGAGTAAATATTGTCAAAATAGAATTTATTCTTAACTTACCTAAATAACACTATATCTCTTACAGTGTTCCCTGTATTAGTTAAGTAATATATTCAAACGAATTCATGGAGGTGATGTTACGACTTACGACCGCATTCAAAAACAGTACTTTACGTATTTCCCACTTCTCAGAATAAATACATTTAAAAATATATATTATATATATTATACAGTTACACATTTAATGTTCTGTCGTGAAATGTGCTTTCATATCTCGCTGATTTGGTTAAAACGTTTGAAGTTTTACATAATAATCACTAGTATATTTGCCAGATGCGCAATAGAAATGACGTTGTTTACGTCATCCTTGTTTGACGTGAGTGATGTCTTTGGAACGTTGCTGATAAGCGGTCAAGTGCGAACTGATTCCATTCGGGCACATATCTCTCGCTGATTTTAGTAGCAAAAACACCCTTCATATAATCGATCATAATTTTTGTTTTGGGTCAAATGAGAATCAGAACGTACCTTCAGATTCAGATTTCACCGAATGGAAAAGCGAACTCACAGGCGAATACCAAATATGTCTCTCAAGCTTTTAATCAAGTTATATGAATCGATCAAGGAGCCGATTTAGTTAGTGTACAATCAATCAAAGCTTACCTTGATATAATTATAGTTCATCCAATTAGTTATTCATGACCTTTCAATAAGCTCACCATTTTAATTCCGGATGATTGATGATGACACGGATTCGAAGAGTAACACAATGATTTTTCATAATAAATTGAATTAAGACAATATTTGTATACGCTTTTATCATTTTGCATAACCCTTTTAATCTATAATCGAGTCAGATGGTTTAATTACAGTAACATTTTGGTTTTGTATTTCTATGCAATGACAACAAAACCGTTTCTTTTTTTTGTTTCATACAAATTACACAAATAACTATAAATTATACTTAAATAACAAATTATATTTCTTACAATTGTTATTTTGCTTTGATTTTTGGTTGCAATTTCAGCTATCGTGCTTATGTGTCCTTCTTTTTATGCCTTAGTGTGTGAACGTATGGAAATAATTCAACAACTTTTTGTTTGAAAACGCGTGTAGCTAGATTTTTTTACATTCACGACTCCGCTGTAGATCGATGGAAAGTACCACGTTTTTGAATAAGAAAATTATTCATTTTAAGAGGAAAACGTTGGAAATGGAGAGGAGAGTCCTGTTGAGGAAATGAATCAATGACTACACACGTATATTGCATACAATTTGAGAAGTTAACTGCTTTATTTTCATTTGTTTGACGCTTCAATTTTATACAATTTAAAAATATTCAAATCTGCTCTGTTTTGTGTACAAATGATAATTTTCTTAATTCTCAAAATAAATTTGGAGCGGTTTTAGGTGTAAAAAATAATTTAAAATAAATTAATGTTTTGAACAAAGCGACCCAAGTTGTGTAATTTCTTTTTTACATGTTTCCTGACGAATTATCGAATGTACACGAAATTTTTCAAATAAATATGATAGGATAAAATGACAAGGAAATATTTATACCCGCTCTCTCAGCATTTGACTCTAATCTTTTTCAATTTCATTGACTTTTCTGACAACTCAAATAAAATGCCAAGATACATTGGTGCTGCTTTTGAAGCATGAAGCAATGCATTAAAGTGGTTTGGTTCTTTTTTCAAATCTGGTCGAATGTTATAAAATCTTTATTTCTTCTGTCAATTCCTCTTAAACGATCAAAAAATATTTAACAAAATAATAAATTCATGATTATGTTGTGGGAAAAAAGCAAACAGAAAAATAATAAAGAGGCAACTGTTTGTCTCATGGCTGCATCCCGACAGAGATGGCTCCAAACAAACAGTTTACTGCAGTAAGATCAATCTATGATTTCTTCAGTTTTGGTTTGATTCGAACCTATGCGTTTTCTTTTCATATAATTGTTTTTTGTTTGTTTTTTTGGTAAAGATACTGATTAATTCTTAATAATTGTAACTCCGAAACATACAGATATATCCGGATACGGTTTGTTTTTCTTTTCCTTGTCTTCAAGTTGCTTCTGTTTTCACACAGAATGTTATAAATACACCAAGGCTGAATATATACGGAATTACAGATTTACGATCTACATCCTAATTAGAATCTCTAACGCTTTGTAAATTTACAAACAAAATGGAAAGTAGTTGTGTGTATGTGTTGATCTTACATTATACATATATGGAAACAAAATTTGCCCCCCAAAACTGAAAGCATTTCTTGTGATTATTATCTATACACATTAAATCAACTCTATATACTTTTTTCTTCTTCTTCTTCCTCTTGTTTTTTTTTTGTTATTATGTAATAAATCTTAATTATTAATTGGACCTGAATTCAACAACATTTACATTTGTATGTCAATTTTTTTTATACAACTTCTCTTTATGCATTTTCCTTATAAGATTGTTTGCGATCAAATCTTTTCGAGAAAGATTTGCTTGTACATTTGTTTATTATTTTGCATAATTTGTGTTTTTCTTGTGGATTTTTGCATCATAAGGAACTATTAATCAAATGTTCTGTTTCTGTTTTCATTAAAAGTTACTGCGTAGTACGCGTTCACTTCGTTTGATATGCCCGTTGGCTTTGATTTGGCCGAACGTCTATGATGGATTTTTAATTAGACGCCGTAAACGAAACTCATACACACGACGACAAAATAGAATCAATTCACTGTTTGTATTAAGCGGCACTTCACGGCCCGTTGATTGCTTTAATGCTGGCACAATTGAGGGAACTTCTTCGATTCCTTGCTCAATGGCTCGAATGCTTTTACGATATCTGAAATAGAGATAATGATAGATTATTCATTTCAAATATATATAGTTAAAATATGCATTGTGCAGTGTGCAATGTGCATTCAATTGATAATCACCTGCAATATTCGTTGAATGTAAGCACATAGCATTTGTCCTCTATACAGGCAACACTGTTGTGATCTTGGTGTTTTGATGCAAATACTTCGTCCGGACAATCGTTTGGCAATCGGCCTTGTTCGGTGTGCTCAGGGCGGTAGTACCATAACAATGACATCATCATTTCACCTGAAAATTCACAAGAATTTGTTAATTCAATCAAAAATTCGAACACAAAATATCGAAACATACCATCTTCGGGATTTTCCCATAGAGAAGCGACCTTTGCAACATACGGTAGTTCATTTTTCTTGCTGCCTGCTCGCAATAGCACACAATCGCCCGGTCGAATTGTATCGCCACAGTCATGTCTCATTGCTGGGTATCGCGTTCGAACGACTTGATGATCGTCACTCTATATAATGGTAGAATGTGTCATTATTGGCAAACTTAATGAAAAACAAAATCGATACAAGTAAAATGTGCGATTACTTACATTAAGGAACACTTTTCCTTGAAATGGTTCACCTAACCAATTCCATCCATTGCTCCATCGTGGTGCTGCAAGTGTTTGTCGTGGAATGATCACTTCTTCAACCAGTTTCAAATGACGAACCCGATGCTTTTTCTTATTGCTGAACTTACTGCCTCGTGATTTTGATTTCTTTGCGGTTGCTATTTTGTTCAAATTAAACGTTGAAGCGGCCAATGCATCAAGATGCATTTTATTGTTTTTATCGAACAAAATGTTATTATTGTTATTGTGAATGGGTGATTCATTGTCCAGCAATGCACCGTCATCGTTTTCAACAACGTTGTCGTCGTTTTCGTCGTCATCATCGTCGTCGTCGTTGAGCTCGTCGGTGTTTTGAGTTCGATTTTCCGGCAATTTTTTCGATTTTTCACAGCTCTTTTTGGCTTTGGATGTTTTTGATTTTTTTGTTTTCGTGTCCGTTTTTTTCTTATTTACCGTTGACGTTGACGATTTTTGCGTAATCGTATCATCGGAATCGAGTTTTGGTCTCTTTGCGGTTGGTGGTCTTTCAACGCGTTCTTTTGATTTATTTGACGACGTTGATCGATCACGTGAATTCTTTCGTGGTTTTGATTTTTCAGCTTTAACCGTTTCTTTTCCATTCGAAATTTTGTCACTTTTTTTCGATTCGGAACGAGATCGTCCTTCACATTTTTGCAATTTTATTTTCAAGCGTTCTTTTTTCCGTGATAAAATTTCATTGTCCGAACAATAACCTTTCGAAATACCTTCACCAGTTGAATCAATGTGTGACATGAAATTTTCTTCTTCTGCAGCAGACAATTCTTGTGGAAATTCATCGCCAATTGATGGCATTGTCAATGGAATGGCATTTACTGATTTTCCAATGCTGTCCGTTCGATTTTCACTGCACTCAATCGATGTATGTTCACTGTTGTCTTTGTCACAGGTACCATTTCGGAATGATTCGAGTTCAATGGTCATCTCTTCCGTTTTCGGTGTACTGCATTTGATCGATTGATCCTTGTCGCGTGCATCAGCTCGGCATAAATATGTTTTCGTTTCTGAAGGCTTTATTAAACTTTTATAACTGTTTGGTGGTGATTTTTTAATTGGATTTTTGTGAAATTCGAGAATTTTTCGTCGTTTTACTGTTGTAATCGTATTCTCTTCATCTAAATCGATGATTTCATCGGCCGAACTTTCATTTCCACAGCGTCGTTTCAATAGGCAATTTTTCTCCGAATTGTCATTCATATGATTTTTAATGCCATTATCGCTCGACAAATCGATGATTTGAATGCTGTTCGATTGTTCATCATGATCCGATGAAATGGTGTCCGATTCCGATTTATCTGAGATCAATAAAACATCGTCGTCACACTCTTTTTTCACATCCTCCTGTTTGATCAGTTTACCATTGACTGTTTGTTTTGCGGACATAAAATGTGGTGTGGTCGTACTATTTTTCTCATATTCTTCATTGTGAATCTGTTCTTTGATTGGTGTCGATGCACAAATATTATTTTTTGATTCATTCAATGAATCACCCTGTAGTTCCATTTCCATGCCTTTATTTGTTGGATGCGATTGTAGCATCATTTCGCGTGCCATATTTTTACCAACACGTGCACGGCGACTTGTGACCGGTGTTTGTGTCAATGTGTTTTTCATTGATTTTTCGATAGAAACGTCCAACGGTTGCGTTGCGCCCGCTTGAATTTTTGGTATACCCGGTCCGATTGAGCCACGAGCTGGACTTATTGACATTTCGGGCTGTTCCAATAGTTTCGGATTCAATGTGTAGTTCGGATGATGCTGCGGCACAAGCGCAATTTTCTCGTATGATCGATCGATTGAATCGAGAGTCTTATGATTTGTATCGTATTGAGTATGTGAATCGACAATTTCTGGTTTAACAACAATATCAAGATTGCCGGTTTTGCTGGTGTTTTCCGTTTTAAATTGAATTGGATTTAATGCAGAGTCGTGTAAATGTGATGTGTTTTTTTGACATGGGCCCTTATCACCAATACGAGGCCCAATATGCACGTTTTTTGGAAACGACTGAATTGGACATGGGCAACTGCCCTGGTATGGCGATGAATCTGTTAAGAGAAAAGGAAACAAACAATTGCACACAAATTAAAAATCTAAATCGTCCAAACAAAGAAAAGAAACCATTCGATAAAACTATTCAATAATTTCGCTGCACATATAGAGTAGATATTATTTTAAATTTATTAAATTTTGATGCAAACAAAAGAAAATAATTTTAAAAAGATGCAATATAATGAATTTGAAATGAAGTCTGAATTGACAACCAAAAGGTAATAATTGTAATCACTGAATAAATGTGCAGGAAATGAATCTATTTTACAAACCATAAGTCACGCACACACAAACGTAAGCGAAATAAATATAGTTTTCATTTTGTTGAATGTGTGAATGTGAATACAGTGTCCATACTTTTGCTTACCGATAAAAGGAGGTTGTATACTACGAGTATAACATTGACCTCCTCCGTGATTATAGCCCGGCGTAAAATAAGGTGAATAGTGATCTAAATGCGGTGCATTCGGAATGGCGGGCACTAATTGGGTATTGGGCGATTGCATTTGCTGTGGTTGAGGTTGAATTGGTGCAGTTGATGTTGGAATCGATTGAGTCGGCTGTTGTGACACCGACGGCGGAATCAATGGTGACTGGTGAATTGAACCAGGATGCTCGTAAAGTTCACTTGGCGGCACTGATTGATAATATGATGTGCTTGGCATATATTGACGATAAGCGGTTGGATAAACTTTTGGTGTATAATAGTTCGATTGATAGGGAGGCGAATAGCACATATCACGAGGATGCTGACCATATGTATAATACGATGGCGGATATGTTGGACAGTGCATTTGATGCGGCGGCCGTGAATAATGGCTTGGAATCGGTGATACCGGCGGCACTTGCAATTGTGGCTGAGGAATTGCTTGCGATGACACTGGAGGCTGTTGATAACGGAACGTATGTGAAGGACCTGTGTCATAATGAAATAATTCACGTCAATAAAATTAAAACAAACACTGGAGGATGTAGTGCCAAGAATATCGTGTTTAGTATGAATCATGATGACAGTTGAAATACATATAGTGTCAAATTGACTTTGTTTCTCTGTATAACTGTTATGATTTTCGCCACGACTGGCTATGACAATAAATATGCTAATGATTCTTACCTTCGCCAACCGAACTCGACTGTTGCGATTGTTGCAATGATTCCGAGTCCAGTGGGGATACTGTGGGTTGTTTGGTCAGATTTTGAGGGCCGCCAATTAAGTGAGAATGAGAATTTATCAATGGACCAGCCGGTTGATAATACCCTGAAAATAAAAGAACATAATTTTCGTTAGACCATTTCATCTCTCGTTCGAAATGAATTATAATAATTGCAATTAATTCTATGCTATACACAAATCCCATTTACAAAAGAATTGAATATAAAATGTTCCATTAAAACTGCGTATTAATTTTTGTTATTTCTTTGTTTAAACTATGTGCAAATACATGGCATTGTGTTTGGTCAAAATCTTCAAAAGAAAAATTAACTCATTCGCATAGAAAATCTGCGTGATTACATCATGCTCATCATCCCCCTTTTTTCAGCCTATTGATTTCTTTTTGCCTGCTGTCTTGCATCCATGCAAATGCTGTCTGCATACATGCATGTATGTACCGTCCCTTTTGCTCAATACTCAAACCACGATGGTAATTTATGCCAATGAAAAGGATAAATAAAACAACAACAAATAAAAAAGAATCTAGACTTCTTTTGAAATTCGTTCACCACTTTTTCAAGTTTTCAGACGTTGATTCTGCACGTAACAATAAAAAGTTTCGACCAAAAAAAAAACTTGCTTGAATATTACTTATTTATTTCAATTCAAAATTCATTCTTTCGTTTGTATGAGTGTTTTATTTTTCATAACTAAAATTCGACTTTTTCACAACAAAAAAACAACAAAGTAACGAGTACATTGTAAGTCTAAGTTGAGTATACATATACCCAAACTACCGTCGGCTGTGTATAATTATTTCCATGTGAGCCAGCCCGATGAATGCATTCAACCAAAAATGCGGTATGCGACTTTTAAACAAATATACATAAGACTGTAGTTTCCGTGCGATCTATATTTATGAAGAGAATTTAGAAGAAGCCAAAGAAGAAGAAGTTGACGAAAAAAAACCTTCTTTTCATTTATTATTCTGCTTCCCCTTCGCTTTTCAAATCTATCGTATATAATAATCTATTTCCAGAGTTTCTTCTTTCCTTCGTTCTACATATTATGTTCTTTTGTGCCGTGTATATGTTTAATCTATTGTTGTTAAATATGTGTTTGTGTTTCCCTAAGAGTACAATTTAGCTGCCAAGTTTAGAGAGACTTTCCTGATGAACCACAAAACGTAATGACGACGAACAAAAAGAGAAACTGGTTGAGCGATTTAGTTCTAAATGCAAACGAATTACCGATTGTGTGTGTGACACAATCGATTCACGCAAACACAACAGATAAAGCAATTGAATATAAACAAGATAAATGCTTGAATTAAGACTGATATTGTTTTCGTTGGTTGATTGAATTTTGATTTGCGACGTAAAACTTCTTGAAACAAAAGTACGACGCTGATGAGCTCGTGACATCACAGTCACGAAACCGAAGGAAGGCTCCAAAGCGAACAAAACACTTCACCAAATTATGTATATGTCTATTTATGCAGTCGAAATATGATTGTGATGGATTGCTATATTGCCGTCGTGCGTAGGTAGATGAGTCTGCGTTCTTCGCACGCCGATCATTCGTTCAAATTGTAAATTAATGAGAATACAAGATCAAAATAAACAGTTTAACCGAATAGAATTGGGAAAAGAAGTTAGAGAGAAAAAAAACAGCAAATTAGAAAAAAGAAACACATGTGCGAGAGTTGAAAATTTGTTTCTATGCCCGTAGTCATTCGACCGTTTTAAATGTTTTCGTTTGATGTTTAAACTTGAACCAAAATATTCCAAATTATCGATGATCACGAAATTTTAGAATTTTATTCCCTCGAACACAGTAGCTAAACAAAAGTTTTTTTTCTCTTTATTTAGTATTGAAATGTGGCTGTTTGATGAAAGGCAAATAAAGAATATATAGAGACGCCGACACTTACGCACTTCATGTGTAGTAAATAATAATAAATTACCGAAGTATAATTTGATGATTTTACACACACAAAAAAATGTGAACTCGGTTTCCAAATGCTCTGGCAAGATTTACATAAATTTCGTGCAGTGAACTCGTTTTATGGAGTTCATCACGAAGAAGCAAAATTCCACGCTAAAAGTGCCCACAGTCACAGTTTGAGTAATAAAAATTTAACCGTGAAAATATGAATCTATTCTGAAAATATAGCATATTTTGAAGTGTGATAATTACGTTATTCATCGTAAAAACAGACTTTAATTCCATCGAGACATCCGTCGAATAAACGTGACGTCGAATATTCTTTTTTCAACCGATTTACAAGAAACCAAAGATCTTTTTCAATTTTTTATGAAGAGCATGAAGCAAAACGACAAAAATATCCAAATTCATGGTGTTGTATTTCACTGATTCTGTTGTTGTTTGCTGTGTCAACTGAATTCGAAATGCTTGATAATTGAAATATGGCATTTTCTATTTTTATTGCCGACAAATTCGAGAATGGAATGCACACTTTTTGACAAATGAAGTTGGTGGTTAAATGCACATAGCTCGATTTTTTTTTGAATGCAATTCATTGAGTGTCATCAGCAATTTCAGTTTTGAGAACATCGAAATGAGAACAAAATGGGCAACAGCGATTTTAAACAATTTATTCAATGTCGACTCAATTAAAATTCCTAATTGATTCACTATTTCAGCTCAATTTTAGTGTAATGATTCTGTGCATGCCGGTGCATGCATTTCTTTAATTATTCAAAGAAGATGATCAAAATCGGTTACAGTAGTCATCATGATCGGATTATTTATTTGATATTTTCAAATAATATTGAACTATGAAACCAATGATCACCTTCGAAAATATACAGATTCAAAGATTCGTCTCTGAAATATTTTAGCGCAGTGTGTCCATAATATATAGAAATATCACTAAATAGTGTCGATATCTATACTATATCGGTCCACTATATATGAAAGATATTGCCGCACGGCACCGTATCGCACGATCGAAGCCAGTGTAGACGGAAAAAATCACAAATTGCCATGCGGCAGTAGAAAGAACTGTGTGTATGCGTCAACATGTTTGCCGTCCGCACTCACTTCTATCGTGAGCTACGGTGTCTTGCGGAATATCTTACATATATAGTGGACCAATATAGTATAGATATCGACACTATTTAGTGCTATTTCTATATGTTATGGACACACTGTTTTAGCGAATTGTAGGTATTGCAACTCTGTGTCTATCATTTTTCATTTTCTCTTCACAAGTAATGGAATTGAATAAAATTTAAGAATAAAAACTTCAAACCCTAAAAATTTAAAAAGCAACCAATCAATGTTTTGAATATAAAAAAAACCATAACGGCATACAGAGTCCCGATACCCGAATCTCAATATAACAGCAAGTGGTAATGCACTAATGCATTTTATAATATTTTTGTACAGCATTTTCTTTCGAGTTGAGTTCATTCGCGGTCTTTACTATAAAAAAAATCTTGACGTTTTCACTAAAAGTTGACGATAAATGACTTTGAAGCGTATTTCTGACACATTTTGTTCTTTCGAAAATAAAAACGACACCAAGATAATGGTGGCATGTCAATAAAAATGTTGCTGATATGCGTTAAGCATGTTAATATTCTGAAAATATTCGATAAGCAATTAAATAAGTCTTCACAGATTCCACAATAGCATTTTTCGAGCGAATGCCACTCTTTCAAATGGTGATTTTGATAATTACGAAAAGTGTTTTCTCTCATTTTGTATCGTTTCAAACATTTTTATAGACTGTTTCAAACGAAATGAATAAAAATAGATATAGAGTCATTTTTATTCTGCCTTTGTACGAGCCTTGATTTGATTCCTCATTTGTTATTATTCCATTGTATCGTCGTTGTTTGTTCAGATTGTCTTAAGTTCAGTTAATAATGAAGTGAGCACAAAAAGTTTATCAAATAGGCGCATTTGTCGGAGGCAAAACAGGAACACTTTTGTTGGGTGTTTCCTCTTTTATCTTGAGACAGAGTGGGCTTATAAATGCATTCTTCGCGGTGCACATTCTTCACATTATTGAGCTCAATTTTCTATAGACGAAGAAAAGAGTTGTTGTTGTTTTTTCTCTTTCGTTTCAAACGATGCATATTGATTTGATGCATTTGTCGTATTAAATTTTTGTAGTTTATACACATTGATCAACCGATCATTTGGTGGAATGTCCAAAACGTCGGTCTCTTTCTTTCAACCGCTTGGTGCGCACTACGCATTGATTGTGATTATACGCGATTACTCGTTTACCTAAGTAAACGCACACGTCGGTTTTAGATGCATCAAAATACCGCTTCCTTTGTGTGCGCATGCCCACACACATCGGAACGGTCTATCTCTCTGGTCGAAAATTATGGTGCGTATGTTTCAAGTTCCAAATTACTACCGTGAGATCGTTTTATGTGTTGTTACATGCTGCGTATATAATTATCTCTTTTCATATTAAAAAGAAAATCATTTTCAAGATGAGAGCGATAGAGAAAGAGAGAGGGAGGGAGAGAAGTAGAGATTTCATCGTGTCTGTGTCCATTTGTCATCATCGTCATCGCATGACCGGATAACGAAGCGAACGCGGTAAATCTGAACCAAACCGAGTAATGGAATAAAAATAATAGTCAAAACAAGTAATTTTGTTATGAGCACTCCAAAAAGCAAAAAGAATAAAATAACAATTCGATAGTAAACATTAATGCCATATTGCTGTTTATGCATTTGTGTGTGTGTGTGTATGCAGCAAAATGCACATTGAAATGTTAATCGCGCGACTAGTGTAAAATGCAAATCGTCAAAGAGAGATTTTGTTTTTCTGCAAAATGAAAACACAAAAAAAGCGAATCATGGAGACATAGAGATTAGCATCTCATTTGTAACGGTGTGCTTGTTGGAACGTGGAAGAAAGGTGCCGTTTCACATTTAATGTAAATTGGTATTGCGATTGCAAAGTTCAAAATTGAAATAGCATCGAATGATTTTTAAATGAGTATACAGCGGATTGTCCTAAAACTGCAACGTGACGAGAAAAGTCATCTCGATACACTTAATCCCAATAGGCGCACATTTTACGACAGTTCAGTCGTGAGCAATCGCCAATC